ATCTATATTATAATATTTTAAAAGATTTTTAATATAAATATTCTAATTTATAATAATAATTTCTTTCATAGTATCTCTATTAATATTATAGCTAAGAAAATAAGTTAAAATATCTAGATATTTTATTTTAAAACTTTAATCTAAATATTTATATATCTGATTAATATTAGTCTTTATATAATCTATAATAATAAAGTTATTAATATATAATATAATTAGACTTAATTCTTAAAAATAGAAATAAAACTTTTTAATAATATTCTTAAAATTAAGTATTTACAGTTATTTATTAAAAATCTTATTTTAAAAATAATCTGCTTATTTTAAGCTATATAATATATATTTAATAAAATAAATATTATTATCTTTCTTAAATCTAATTAATTATTTTATATAAATAAGTCTATTATTAATAGCTATATATAAATATATAATAGTTATATTAACTTACTTTTATTTAAGTTTTTTAATAATAATCTTTATAAATCTTATTTTTATAGTAATATTAAAGATTATAGATATATATATAATATTATAGTTTTTATCTATTTATTAATAATTATTATAGATTATTTAATAAGCTTTAAAATAATTAATATATCTATTTTTATTAATCTTTATTATATAAATTTATTTATCTAGAATTATATAAATATCTTTATATATTAAATAAAATATAATCTTAAATATTTATATTTTTTATAGATTTTATAATTTCTCTAGTATAGTCTTCTGTCAGTAATTTATATATAATAATAATATTACTGATTTATATATCTTAGAAATAGATATATTTATTATATATATCTATATATTAGAGACTGCAAGAATTATTTTATCTTTTAAATAAATTAAGAATTTATTTTTAATCTTATAATTTAAAATTTATATTAATTATATTATTTTTTATTTTTTTTTAATAATATACTTTAATAATACTGTGATCTTATTGCCCTGAATAATAATAAAGATATTATTTTTAATTATATTAAAATTATTAATTAAATCTAATTAATCTATTAGCTTGCTGATACTTGATAATTCTACTTAGTATAAATAATATAGAATATCTATAATTTATATAATATATATATTATTAAATAAGAATCTTATATACTTATTCCAAGTATTTTCTCTTAATTAAAAATTATATACTCTCTTTGACTGCAGAATAATATTATTATTAAAATAAGAATATTTAATAATAATTTAATTAATATTATAAAATAGATATATTTTTTAGGATATTAAGAGATCTTAAATTATAATAATTCTTACTAAGATCTGCTGTAATTAATCTTTATTAATATTATAATTAGTAAAATTATTAAAAAAATTATAAAGATATTTTTCTGATCTTTAATATTCTTATAAATAGAAGAAAAAATAAGTCTAATAAAAGACTGAATAATATTATTATCTTTCTTAGTTTATTAAGAGTCTTTTAGATAGAATATAATTAATTAGATAAGATATAATTTCAGAGATAATTAAGAGATTATTTAAATTCTTTTATATATTAGTAATAGATTTCTTGTCTAAGAATTCTTAATAATTATTTTATATTTAGTTATAGATAAAAAAATAGTATAATAATCAGGATTATTCTTTCTAAATCTAATAAATTATAATTAATATTCTATAGAAATTTCTGTATCAGAATCCGGATTATTCTTATTATTATAATATATTTTTATTTTATATAGCTTAATATAATATAATTAATAAATCTTATAATTTAAAGAACTTTAAATCTTTAATATATAATTATACTCTTTTTTATAATTAATTAAGTATTTTTTAATTATTTTTAGAGATATTTTTCTTATCTGTATATATATTTTCTTAAATAAATAAATATATATCTAATATCTAAAAATATATAGAAAATTAAGAATAGACTTTAAATTAAATAATCTATAATATTTATATTATTTTTATAATAAAGACTTATTAATCTTATTATTTAAATAGATTAGTTAATTAATAATTAGATTAGCAGTATTAATTATAAAAAATTATATATTCTTAGATAGATTACTGTTAATAATTATTATATAAATTATTTAATTAAAATAATTTTTATATTACTTTAAAGATCTATTAGTCTCGGATATATAATATAATATTAAAATAATATATATTAATTAGCTTCTGGCCTATTTAATAAAGAGATTAAACTTAGTATCTTTATTAAAATATTAATATTATATTTACTTGCCAGTTAGTATCTTATACTTTTTAATAAAGTATTTTAGTTTAATATTTATATTCTTAATTTTTAGAAAGCAAACTTCAGATTATTAAGTAATAAAATTAATTATAATTAAATATATATAATATTTACTATATTTTATTAGCTTTATTAGCTGAGTATTAGTAGTTTATAATATTAAGAGATTTATATCTATAATAATTAAATCTTAGCTAATAACTTATTTAGATTTTACTAACAAGTATAACTTACAGTTAGATTATATAAAATTATTAATCTTAAATTAATTAATTATTATAATAACTTTTAATTTAAAAATATTTATATATTCTAGTTATTAGTGTAGTAATATCAGATTAAGTATTATAATTAATATGATTCTTAAATTCTTATACTTATTTAACTTAATAAATAGAACTTTATATTTTTTATAAATTTTATTAATAATTTTCTGAATTCTAATACTCTGAATAATAGTATCAGAATAATCTTATATATTATATATTTTATAAGCTGAGATTCTGCTAAAAATCCCGAAATTTATATCTAGATAATAATATATAATATTATATATCTCTATCTGTTCTCTGTAGCTATTATTAAAATAAAGAAAAATTATATTATAATCTAGAGTATAATTTATTATATTATTAAAGATATTAAATTAATATAAAATCTTATTTAATTAATAAAGAGTATAATTAATAAAATAGTTATAATTAGAGATAATATAATAATTAATTTTTAAATCTTAAATCTATTAATTTTTTATATTCAGGATTCTTATATTAAGAGTTATAGATTAAATAAATATAATAATATTATTAATATCTTTATCTATCTTGGTATAAAGAAAGAAAAATAGATATTTTAATATACATTTTTTTTTTATTATCTTCTCTGTAGAATCTAGTATAATATATTATATTAAATAATAAAAATTCTTATTATTTAATACTATTACAGAGATATTAGACTGTTTTAAAGAATTCTTATATATAATAAACTAATTTAATATAGTAGTTTACTTATTATTCTTAGATTAATATTTTTAGATATTTTATTTAGATATCTAATCTAAATCTTGTAGCTTTAAAATTAAGTAAAAATAAAAATATAATTTATAATTATTTAAAATCTTATAATATATATATTTATTATCTATTTAATTATTAAGATATTTTAATTAATATTATTAATAATTATAATTTATTATATTTTTTAAAGACTATCTCTGCTATCTGTTTTTTAATATTAATTTTATATTAATATTATTATTCTTTTTTTTCTTTAAATTAGATATCTTAGACTTAAATATTTTTATTTATAAATTAATTAAAATAACTAAAATTATAAGAATTAAAAAAATTATAATAACTATCTTCTCTGTAGTTTTAATATAAAAATAATTAAATTATTATTCTATATATATCTTTAACTTAATCTTATTTATTTCTAATCTCTAGATAATATATTAAAGTAGTATATTATTCTTAAGCTTATATAATAATATAATTATAGAAATATAGAAAAAAAATATAATATTAAAATATATAAGAACTTTTCTTAAGAAGTAAGAACTTTTCTTAAGAAGACTTTATTAAACTTTCACTTTCTTATACAAATTAAATGTAAAAGTAAGATAAAAGTGAGAGAAAGATAAGAGAAGTAAAAAATAAGAAAAAATTAAAGATTAAATAATTAAATAAGAACTTTTCTTTAATCTCTTAGAAAAACTTTACTGAACTCTCACTTTCTTATATAAATTAGATATAAAAGTGAGATGAAAGTAAGATAAAGATAAAAGAAAGATAAAAGAAAGATAAAAAAATAATAAAAAGAATCAAAGATTAGATAAATAAGAAAAAGACTAAAAGCTAATTCAACTTGATTAAAACTTATTAAAAAACTAATTAAAAACTAAGAGATCTTTTTTATTTATATTTATAGTCAATTGGCTATTAAAAGCATATAAAAACATATAAAATTATATAAAAATCATATAAAAATTATATAAAAATTATATAAAAATTATATAAATAGAACAGGGCCAAGAATAATAAAACCAGTAATTAAATAGAGACTAGAATAATTAATAAAAGTAAGATCTCTTACTCTGCTGCGGGATAGATAAAACTTGAAATTATTAGTCTATTAACTAATAGTCTAAAACAGTTAACTAATCTGAGACTATAAATTAATAAATCTTAAACAGCTAACTAACAGGTCTTAGACAGCAAACTAGCCAGTCTATCTATATTATTAATATATTCCTGCAGTTTTGATAAGATAAAATATTAAAAAAAACTAAAGTAAACAAATTACTAAAAATAGAAAATAATAATAATAGAATTTAATAAATTACTATATTTAATTATTTAATAAATTAAGTATATTTCTAATCAAGAAACTGCTTAGTCAGGCTATTTATTTATATTTTATTAATAGATATTTATTAAATATTAATTATTTTATTCAGAACTTCTTGCCTTAGCTAATAATTAATAATATTAATATATTTCAGACTAGTCCAGAATAAGAAATTCTTATTAGTAAGAATTTTAATTATTTAATAATTATTAAATAATATAAAGAAGTATTGATTAGAATTAAATTCTATTTATTTAAAAAATCTTTTTTATTAAAAAAATTATTTAGCTGCAGTAGTTAGAACTAATAATTCAGCTTTAATAATTAAAAGAATTATATAATACTATTTCTTGCTTAGCTAATTAATAGAGCTATTAAATAAATAAATAATATATCTTATTAAACTAGTATAATCTTAATTATCAGCAAAACTAGTATTACTGGCTATATAAAATAAAATAAAGCTAGAACTAAATTTAATAATCAAGTTTTTTATTTCTTTTAAATAAAAGATTAAATAATTCATAGTCTTGAGATATTTAGGACTTGGATTAATCAGATATTCTAAAATTAACTAATATAATTTAATAATATCAGATTTAGTTTAAACTATAGAATATAAAACTGATTCTATTTTCTGCTGAAATTTATAAATTTAATTAATAATAATCTAATAAAATAGATTCTTTACTAATTTCTTGTTTAGAAGTAAGAATTTAGGGCTTTTTCTTTGCCCTAAATTAAACTTATTAATAATCTTATTAATATAGTTTGATTATTAAATCTATAACTTTCTATTTAAGTAATTATATAAGATTTAAATATTAAGAAATAAATTAATCTCTTCAAGATCTTTGAATTTAAATAATATTATTAATTCTTGCTTAAATTTATTAAATTTTTAATAATTTGATTTATAAAATATATAAATTATATTATTTATAAAAATTATTAAAATTATAAATTTATTAATAAAAATATATTAATCTTTCTGAATAGACTTAAGTTCTAGAATTATTAATCTCTATTTCAGAGTATTTTATCAAAAAAATAATAAATATCTTAATCTATATAAGACTTTTTATAATAGAAAAACTGTTTATTTATTTTCTAATTCAGAAATTAGATTTATATAGATTTTTTTCTTAATAAAATTATTAAAAAAGGCAATAATTATATTTAATTAATTAATTTCCAGATCAAACACAGTAATTAGAGCTAAAAGAATTTATATAAATCTGGCCGCAAGAATACTAGTATATATTTCTAATTAATCAGATATCTGTAAATTATCTTTAATATAAATTCAGACTTTAAAATCAGTCAGATAATTAGTTTTATTAAATTTATATAAAAATATCTATTTTAATAATAATACTTCAGCTCTATTAGTTTTATAAATTAAATATATATTCTAAATATTTAGGGCTTTTAATTAATTAATTTCAGTTTTGATAGTCTGAGTAAATTAACTTAAAAATATATAATTTTTTATTTCTCACTAGTTAATAAGCAGAGATAAAAGTAATAAAAAATTAATATAAAAAATTTTATTTTTATTAATATAATTAATTATTATTTAAATAACTTAGAGAGTAAGCCTAGTTTTTTTAGAATTAGAATTAAATAATTCTGAGCGGGTCTGTTTCAGATCTCTGATTAATTTAATATCTAAGAACTTAATTTTATTAATCAGCTTATTAATATTTAAATTATTAATAAGAATCTGAGATAATAAAAAAAATAAATCAAACAGTAAAAATAATAAATCTTCTATAATTATATTATTATTTTATAAAATATTTAACTAATTATTTAAGACTATTAACTGGCTTGATTCAGCAGCTAACTAATCTAAGATTATTAACTAATCTTATTTTAATTAATTGCCTGATAAAGATTTAGATGTTTATTTTAATATTTCTGAATTAGAAAGATTTTTATTTATATTAGATTTTTTAAATTCTTCAGAAATAGAGATATCTGATTATTCTAATTAAATAGAATTAACTAATTCAGTTATTTTTTATTTTATTAATAGATTTTCTAATTCAGTATATTATTTATAATTAAAATTTTTATTAAAAATAATATTATAAGCCGAAATTATTCTTTTAAGAATAGATACTTAGATTTATTAAATATTAGTTATCTAATAATTAATTAGATAATTAATTAGAGCTCTGGATTTTAGTTTATTTTTTTTGAGCAAGTTACTGATTCAGATATAAATATATAATTTATACTTTCTTAAACAGAAAATATCTAGTTTTTTAAATAATTATAAAAGACTTTTTTAAATAATTTTATATAGTATTTTCTAATTTAGTTATTTATTTAATATTCTGTTTAGAAAAAAAATAGCCAAATTTATTATTTTAAATTATAAAAATATAGAAAGTCCTGAATTAATTAATAAACTTCTTATTTTAAAAATAATTAGAGCTCTGAATCTTTCTGTATATAAATTTTACTCTAACTAATAAATTAGTAAATAACTAATTAGTAGATTTTTAATACTAGTCTAGATTAGAAAAATATCAAGATTCTGATTCTGATTAGAATAAAATCTCTTGGATATTATCTTAAATTAATTAATAATTAATTAAATTATATTAATAATTAATTCTGAAATATCTGATTTAAAAGTTAGGGCTTGCTCTAGATAAAATTTTAAATAAAAATAATAAAAATAACTAATATATCTCTGTTTATTAATTTTATTTATTATATAAATCAAATTCTAATAAATTAATTTAAATACCTGACTTTTTTTCTTAAATTTTTATCTTAAAATTTATCTTTCTAATTGGCTAATTTTATATATAAAATATTTTTTATTTTAGCTTAATTTATCTGAGCTAGTCTGTTTTAATAAATTAGTAATATTAATTCTCTGAATTAAATTACTTAGATAATTTAGAACTTTTTTATTAGAATACTCTAATTTTTTATATTATTCTTTAATTATTTTAGATATTATATATTAATATTCTGAGAGTTTGATTGGCTTAAGACTATGAACTAATAAGTCTGAGATAGCCAACTAGCTTGTCTTAATAATAATAATTATAATAAAACTAGATTTTTGTTTTTATTAAATATAGTATATTTTTTTAATTTTCTTAATTTAATATAGTAGAATTCTATCTGCTTGTTTAAAAAATTTATCTTTTCTATTTAAAAATAATCTCTTTTTGTCAGCTTTTGCAGCTAAGAAAATATTTATATAAAATTAAGAAATATAAGCTACTTCTTTAAGTTTAAAATATAGATCTTTTTTATTTAGATAAGTAAAATAAAAAATAACTATTTTATAGTCTTAAATAACTGAGATAATATCTTCTATTCTTACTAATTTACTTTTATTTATAATAGAAGTATAATTAATAAAAAAATTTAAAAAATTATAGATATAATTATCTGAAGCAGTATTAAAAGTCTATTAAAATAAATAAAATATTAATAATTATTCTAAATAAATAATTTATTAATTTATTACTAAGAAGATCTTTTCTGTCTTAATAATTATTTTATTATTCTTATTAAATAAAGACAGTATTTAATAAGTCTGATAGTATTATTTAAAGAAATATCTTAGTTTAGAGCTATTTTTAAAAATATCTCTAAAATAATTTAAGATTTTGATCTCAGGCTTTTATTCAGAATCTCTTAGTTTTTTATTAATATAAAAATAATTATTAAAATTATAAAATCTATTATTCTTGTCTGATTTATATAGACAGGGCTAATTCTTAAATCTTTATTTTTTTATTAATATTTTACTATTTTAGAAAGTTTGTTTTAATTTAGTTATTAAAACAGTTGTTGAAACAGTTGATTTAGAATTATCTGAAAGATCTTAAAAAAAAATATAATTAATTTTATTATTATTATTGCTAACTAGCTTGATAAATTATCTAATTTAAGAATTTAAATAAATTTAATTATATGTTCTTTATATTATTTTAAGAAACTTAGATAATTCTTTCTGATTATTTTTATTATTAATTAATTTTAATTATTAAATTATTATAAAATTGCTTATTATTTTCTGAACTGATTTAAGAAAGTTATAGATTATTTAAATAAAATTAGTAATCTTGCTTAATTTCAGCTTTACTGCTTTTAAATAAATAAGCTTTTATTAAATTATATAATTCTTAATAGAATTCTTTGTTCTTAAGAATTATAGCTTATAATATTTATTAATAACTTCTTTTATATAGAACTAATTAATAAAGATAATTTTTTTTTTTAGAATTTATAAAATTTAATAAGATTTTTCTAAATTAAATATAGTGTGCTGATTTTGCTTATTTAATATAAAATTTATTAATAAACTTAAAAAGACTAGTCCAGAGATAATTTTCTTCTATTTCTTAAATTAATAATTAAATTAATTTATAATTTTCTGATATAAAAGATAGTCTGATTTACTGAGATCTATTATTAAAGTAATATAATAATTAAAATCTAAAATAGATATAGTAACTAGCTTAATAGAGTAATTAAGTTTCTCAGATAAATCTGGATTTATATATTTTTAGATATTTTTATTAATAATAAATAATTAAATTTAATTAATCCAAAGAAATTAATCAGATTAATTATTAAGAATAATAGAAACTTTCTTAAATTACTGATTTTAAGATATAATAAAGAAATAGTCAAAAGAATTTGAGAATTTAAATAGATCTTATTTTTTACTTAAAAGTTCTATAATTTCTTATACAAATTTTAAGTTAAAGATAAAGTAAAAATAAAAGAAATAAAAGAATATAAAGAGTCTCAGAGATATTAATAAAAAATTAATATAAAAATATAATCAGACTTATAACTAAGAACTTTTCTTAAGAAATAAGAACTTTTTTTAAGAAGACTTTATTAAATTTTTACTTTCTTATATAAATTAGATACAAAAGTGAGATAAAAATAAGAGAAAAATAAAAAAAATAAAAAATAAAAAAAAATTAAAAATTAAATAATTAAGTAAGAATTTTTCTCTAATTTTTTAGAAAAACTTTACTGAACTCTTACTTTCTTATATAAATTAAGTATAAAAATAAGATAAAAATAAAATAAAAATAAAAAAAAGATAAGAAAAAGATAAAAAAAATAATAAGAAGAATTAAAAATTAAATAAATAAAAAAGAGACTAAAAACTAATTTAACTTGATTAAAACTTGTTAAAAAACTAATTAAAAACTAAGAGATCTTTTTTATTTATATTTATAGCCAATTGGCTATCAAAAATATATAAAAATATATAAAATTATATAAAAATTATATAAAAATTATATAAAAATTATATAAAAATTATATAAATAAAACAGGGCCGAGAATAATAAAACTAGTAATTAAATAAAGACTAGAATAATTAATAAAAATAAGATCTCTTATTTTATTATAGAATAGATAAAACTCAGAATTATCAGTCTGCTAACTAATAATCTAAGATAATTAACTGGTCTGAAACTGCAAACTAGTAAGTCTTAGATAATTAACTAATAGATCTTAGACAGTAAACTGACCAGTCTGTTTATATTATTAATATATTCCTGCAGTTTTAATAAAATAAAATATTAAAAAAAACTAAAGTAAATAAATTACTAAAAATAGAAAATAATAATAATAGAATTTAATAAATTATTATATTTAATTATTTAATAAATTAAGTATATTTCTGATCAAGAAACTGCTTAGTCAGGCTATCTGCTTATATTTTATTAATAAATATTTATTAAATATTAATTATTTTATTCAGGGCTTTTTATCTTAGCTAATAATTAATAATATTAATATATTTCAGACTAGTCCAGAATAAGAAATTCTTATTAATAAGAATTTTAACTATTTAATAATTATCAGATAATATAAAGAAATATTAATTAGAATTAAATTCTATTTATTTAAAAAATCTTCTTTATTAAAGAAGTTATTTAGCTGCAGTAGTTAGAACTAATAATTTAGCTTTAGTAATTAAAAAAGTTATATAATACTATTTCTTACTTAGCTAATTAATAGGACTATTAAATAAATAAATAATATATTTTATTAAGCTAGTATAATCTTGATTATCAACAAAACTAGTATTATTAATTATATAAAATAAAATAAAGCTAAAACTAAATTTAATAGTTAAGTTCTTTATTTCTTTTAAATAGAAGATTAAATAATTTATAATTCTAAGATATTTAAGACTTAAATTAATCAGATATTCTGAAATTAACTAATATAATTTAATAATATTAGATCTAGTCTAAACTATAGAATATAGAACTGACTCTACTTTTTACTAAAATTTATAAATTTAATTAGTAATAATCTGATAAAGTAAATTTTTTACTAATTTCTTACTTAGAAGTAAGAATTTAGAGCTTTTTCTTTGTTCTAAATTAAATTTATTAATAATCTTATTAATATAGTTTGATTATTAAATTCACAACTTTCTATTTGAGCAATTATATAAGATTTAAATATTAAGAAATAAATTAATCTCTTCAAGATCTTTAAATTTGAATAATATTATTAATTCTTGCTTAAATTTATTAAATTTTTGATAATTTAATTTATAAAATATATAAATTATATTATTCACAAAAATCATTAAAATTATAAATTTATTAATAAAAATATATTAATCTTTCTAAATAGACTTAAGTTCTAGAACTATTAGCCTCTGTTTCAGAATATTTTATCAAAGAAATAATAAATATTTTAATTTATATAAGACTTTTTATAATAAAAAAACTATTTATTTATTTTCTAATTTAAGAATTAGATCTATATAGATTTTTTTCTTAATAAAACTATTAAAAAAGGCGGTGATTGCATTCAGTTAATTAATTTCTAGATTAAATATAATAATTAGAGTTAAAAAAATCTGTATAAATCTGACTGTAAAAATACTAATATATATTTTTAATTAATCAGATATCTGTAAATTACTTCTAATATAAATTCAGGCTTTAAAATTAGTCAGATAATCAGTTTTATTAAATTTATATAAAAATATTTATTTTAATAGTAATACTTTAGCTCTATTAATTTTATAAATTAAATATATATTCTAAGTATTTAGAGCTTTTAATTAATTAATTTCAGTTTTAACAGCCTGAGTAAATTAGCTTGAAAATATATAATTTCTTATTTCTTATTAGTTAATAGACAGAGATAAAAGTAATAAGAAATTAATATAAAGAATTTTATTTTTATTAATATAATTAATTATTATTTAAATAATTTAAAGAGTGAGTCTAGTCTTTTTAGAATTAGAATTAAATAATTCTAAGCGGGTCTGTTTCAGATCTCTGATTAATTTAATATTTAAGAACTTAGTTTTATTAATCAGCTTATTAATATTTAAATTATTAATAAAAATCTAAGACAGTAAAGAAGATAGATTAGATAGTAAAGATAATAAATCTTTTATAATTATATTATTATTTTATAAGATATTTAACTGATTATTTAAGACTATTAACTAGCTTAATTTAACAGCTAACTAATCTAAGATTATTAATTAATCTTATTTTAATTAATTATCTGATAAAGATTCAGGTGTTTGTTTTAATATTTCTAAATTAGAAAAATTTTTATTTATATTAGATTCTTCAGATTCTTCAGAAATAGAGATATCTGATTATTCTAACTAAATAGAATTAATTAATTTAGTTATTTTTTGCTTTATTAATAGATTTTCTAATTCAGTATATTATTTATAATTAAAATTTTTATTAAAAATAATATTACAAGCTAAAATTACTCTTTTAAGAATAGATATTCAGATTTATTAAATATTAGTTATCTAATAATTAATCAGATAATTAATTAGAGCTCTGGATTTTAATTTATCTTCTTTAAGTAAGTTACTGATTTAAATATAAATATATAATTTATATTTTCTTAAACAGAAAATATCTAGTTTTTTAAATAACTGTGAAAGACTTTTCCAGATAATTTTATATAATATTTTCTAATTTAGTTATTTATTTGATATTTTATTTAAAAGAAAAATAGCCGAATTTATTATTTTAGATTATAAAAATATAAAAAGCCCTAAATTAATTAATAAACTTCTTATTTTAGAAGTAATTAGAGCTTTAAATCTTTCTATATATAAATTTTGCTCTGACTGATAAACTGATAAATAATTAATTAATAGATCTTTGGCACTAGTCTAGATTAAAAAAATATTAAGATTCTAATTCTAATTAAAATAAAATCTCTTGAATATTATCTTAAACTAATTAATAATTAATTAAATTATATTAATAATTAATTCTAAAATATCTGATTTAAAAGTTAGGGCTTGCTCTAGATAAAATTTTGAATAAAAATAATAAAAATAGCTAATATATCTCTATTTATTAATTTTATTTATTATATAAATTAAGTTCTAATAAATTGATTTAAATATCTGATTTTTTTTCTTAAATTTTTATCTTAAAATTTATTTTTCTAATTGGCTAATTTTATATATAAAATATTTTTTATTTTAACTTAGCTTATCTAAGCTAGTCTGTTTTAATAAATTAATAATATTAATTTTCTGAATTAAATTACTTAGATAATTTAGAATTTTCTTATTAAAATATTCTAATCTTTTATATTATTCTTTGGCTGTTTTAGATATTATATATTAATATTCTGAGAGTTTAATTAGCTTAAGACTGCGAACTGGTAAGTCTGAGATAGCCAACTAGCTTGTTTTAATAATAATAATTATAATAAAACTAGATTTTTATTTTTATTAAATATAGTATATTTCTTTAATTTTCTTAATTTAATATAATAAAATTCTATCTGCTTATTTAAAAAATTTATTTTTTTATTTAGAAATAGTCTTTTTTTATTAGCTTTTATAGCTAAGAAAATATTTATATAAAATTAAAAAATATAGATCACTTTTTTAAGTTTAAAATATAGATCTTTTTTATTTAAATAAATAAAATAAAAAATAATTATTTTATAGTCTTAAATAACTAAGACAGTATCTTCTATTCTTACTAATTTATTTCTATTTATAATAAAAATATAATTAATAAAAAAATTCAAGAAATTATAGATATAATTATTTAAAGCAGTATCAAAAGTTTATTAAAATAAATAAAATATTAATAATTATTTTAAATAGATAATTTATTAATTTATTATTAAGAAGATCTTTTCTATCTTAATAGTTACTTTGTTATTTTTATTAAATAAAGATAATATTTAATAAATCTGACAGTATTATTTAAAGAAATATCTTAGTTTAAAGCTATTTCTAAAAGTATCTCTAAAGTAATTTAAGATTTTAATCTCAGATTTTTATTCAGAATCTCTTAGTTTTTTATTAATATAGAAATAATTATTAAAATTATAAAATCTATTATTCTTATCTGATTTATATAAACAGGGCCGATTCTTAAATCTTTATTTTTTTATTAATATTTTATTATTTTAGAAAGTTTATTTTAATTTAATTATTAAAACAGTTGTTAAAACAGTTGATTTAGAATTATCTAAAAAATCTTAAAAAAAGATATAACTGATTCTGTTATTATTACTATTAACTAGCTTAATAAATTATCTAATTTAAGAATTTAGATAAATTTAATTATATATTCTTTATATTATCTTAAGAAACTTAGATAATTCTTTCTAATTATTTTTATTATTAATTAATTTTAATTATTAAATTATTATAAAATTACTTATTATTTTCTGAACTGATTTAAAAAAGTTATAAATTATTTAAATAAAACTAGTAATCTTACTTAATTTCAGCTTTACTATTTCTGAATAAACAAGCTTTTATTAAATTATATAATTCTTAATAGAATTTTTTATTTCTGAGAATTATAGTTTATAATATTTATTAATAACTTTTTTTATACAGAACTAATTAATAAAGATAATTCTTTTTTTTAAAACTTATAAAATTTAATAAAATCTTTTTAAATTAAGTATAATATACTGATTTTGCTTGCTTAATATAAAATTTATTAATAAATTTAAAGAGACTAGTTCAGAGATAATTTTTTTTTATTTCTTAAATTAATAATTAAATTAATTTATAATTTTCTAATATAAAAAACAGTCTAATTCACTGAGATCTACTATTAAAATAATATAATAATTAAAATTTAAAATAGATATAATAACTAGCTTGATAGAGTAATTAAATTTCTCAGATAAATCTAGATTTATATATTCTCAGATATTTTTATTAATAATAAATAATCAAATTTAATTAATCCAAAGAAATTAATCAGATTAATTATTAAGAATAATAGAAACTTTCTTAAATTACTGATTTTAAGATATAATAAAGAAATAGTTAAAAAAATTTAAAAATTTAAATAGATCTTATTTTTTATTTAAAAATTCTATAATTTCTTATATAAATTTTAAGTCAAAGATAAAGTAAAAATAAGAGAAACAAAAGAATATAAAAAGTCTTAAAAATATTAATAAAAAATTAATATAAAAATATAATCAGGCTTATAACTAAGAACTTTTTTTAAGAAGTAAGAACTTTTCTTAAGAAGACTTTATTAAATTTTTACTTTCTTATATAAATTAGATACAAAAGTAAGATAAAAGTAAGAGAAAGATAAGAAAAATAAAAAATAAAAAAAAATTAAAAATTAGATAATTAAGTAAAAACTTTTCTTTAATCTTTTAGAAAGACTTTACTAAACTCTTACTTTCTTATATAAATTAAGTATAAAAGTAAGATAAAAGTAAGATAAAAATAAAAGAAAGATAAAAAAAAGATAAAAGAAATAATAAAAAAAATTAAAAATTAGATAAATAAGAAAAAGACTAAAAACTAATTTAACTTAATTAAAACTTGTTAAAAAACTGATTAAAAACTAAGAAATCTTTTTTATTTATATTTATAGCCAATTGGCTATCAAAAACATATAAAAATATATAAAATTATATAAAAATTATATAAAAATTATATAAAAATTATATAAAAATCATATAAATAGAACAGAACTAAGAATAATAGAATCAGTAATTAAATAAAGACTAGAATAATTAATAAAAATAAGATCTCTTACTCTACTGTAGAATAGACAGAACTTGAAATTATTAGTCTGCCAACTAATAGTCTAAGACAGCTAACTGGCCTGAGGCCGCAAACTGGCAAGCCTTAGGCAGCCAACTGGCGGGCCTTAGGCAGCGAACTGGCCAGTCTGCCCATATTGTTGACAATATATAATATAATTATATATCTTATAATATATAATAATAAAATCCGGAATTAATAAATACTAAATTTTTTCTAAAATAATAAAATTATTAATTATATTTATAATCTATAGCTCACTGCTGTTGATTATAATATTATATATAATAATTTATATATTATTTATATATTTAATAAAAAAATCAGGATTCTGTAGTTTTTTCTGTAGATTATTTAATATCTAACTTAATAATTATATAATTATTTATCTAGATTAACTCTGCTATCAGTAATAGTATTCAGAGTTCTGAATAGATTAAGATATATTAAAATTAATAAATTATCTATAGTTAATAATAATTAATTTCTGTCTGATTTGTCAGATCTAATTCTTATATATAATTATATTATTAAGAATAGTCTGAAGATTATTAATTATAATTAAAAATATA